TTTTTAGTAGAGACGGGGTCTCGCTCTTGCTCAGGCTGGTCTCGAACTCCTGACCTTGAGCGATCCACCCTCCTTGGCCTCCCAGAGTGCTAGGATTACAGACGTGAGCCACCGCCCCCGGGCTCCCAGTTTCCACTCTTTTCTCCTGGAGCCCATCCTTTAAGGCAATGGTCCTCAACCTTTTTGGCACCAGGCACCGGTTTCATGGAAGACAATTTTTCCACGGACCAGGGGATGGGGGGTTTTGGGATGAATCAAGCACATTACATTTATTGTGTACTTTATTTCTATTATTATTACATTGCAACATCTAATGAAATAGCTACACAACTCACCGTAATGCAGAATCAGTGGGAGCCCTGCACTTGTTTTCCTGCAACTAATGCCATTTATCTGACAGGAGGCGGAGCACGGGCGGTGATGCGAGCGATGGGGAGCATCTATAAATACAGATGAAGCTTTGCTCACTCACCTGCCACTCACCTCCTGCTGCACGGCCCAGTTCCTAACAGGCCGTGGACCAGTATGGCCTGGGGTTGAGGACCGCAGCTTTAAGGGACAGCCAGTGATCTTCAAAAACTGCAAAACAGATAATTTCACTCCACCCAAAATCTCCCAGCTGCTCCCCATCATACTTAGAATGAAATGGAAACTCCTCACCACAGCCTAAAAGTCCCCGATAGCTGGGCTCCTCCCCAGCCTGGGCTGGCCCTGCCCTCCTCCACTGGGGCTTTTCAGCTCCCCCAGTGACAACTTGTTCCCTCAGGGCTCTGCACTTGCTGTTGACTAAGGGGTAGCTGACTCCCTCTTGTCCTACAGGAGTCAACTCAAACATCCCGTCCCCCTTGACGGGGCCACCCCCAGCCCACTCCTTACTCTCCTTCACCTCCCCAGGGTTCTGTCCCTCTGAAGCTCCCTGCTTGAGGCAGTGAACTTGGTGGTCTCACTGTTGTAGCCAGACCCCAGTACAGAAGGAGCTTAGGAAATAGTGGATGGATGGATGGACGGACTTACGGATATTAACGGACTTGCGGGGACCACACAGCAGCAGCAGAGCTGAGCGCCAGCCAGGACAATTGGACCCTGAATCTGCCGGCTTATTCCTGGGGCTGTTGCCCCCACAGTATTTGGTTAAGAGTTTGGCTGCCTGGCCGGGCGCGGTGGCTCACGCCTGTAATCCTAGCTCTCTGGGAGGCTGAGGCGGACGGATTGTTTGAGCTCAGCGGTTC